ATTAAAATACGTCTCTTTTGGGTTTGCAGGGTGAAGAAGCTGTGGGGGGTGCTGGAAGGTATCAGCTCCACAGTAAAAGAGTTCCAGAAGCTCCTTCAAATCATGGCGCCTCGTTTGCTTAAGAAAGTCACGGCCAGGAGGTGAGGTGCTCGGGGGATGCAAACCCTCAGCAGAGGAAGGGCAGGGTACAGAGCAGGGAGAACCCCAGGGGACCTCACCCATGGGTCACTGATGCTGAGTCTGGCTGAAAATTCCAAATCTGGGCTACTCCACATTAAAAGTAGCTAATTTTTGTTCCTGTGCTATCATTTATTGAGTGACATCTGAAAGAAGCTATGAACTAGCTTAGAGCTGCTTCCCTATGGCAACATACTCTTGTTGCAGAGTGTTTATCTGCTGCGCTCTACCCTAGCAGGCATCAGGCACATTCACCAAAATCCTGAGAGGTGTTTTGGCACTAAACTCTCAAGGATTCAAGGCATTTGACTCGTCACACAGACAGCTCCCTAAAACCCGCTTCCAAGTTACTTCACGTGCAGCTGGCGGAGAGACTCGCACAGCACGATTTCGCGCTGCGGGCAGCTACGCGATTCCTCAGCGAGGAAAAAGCCCTTCAGGGTCAAATGTCCCCGGGGCTGCTCGTTGCTGCTGCTTCACGGACCCAGCCCCAACTAACTGCCAGCTTGTTCCTGTAGGTAACCAGCCCGGGTGGGCCCTGGGGGTCTCCGACACCACGCGGTTCTGCTGCCCTGGGAAGCGGTGGACGACAGCGGAGCTCGTTTCACACAGCACGGCTGCTGGTTCTGTATGGAATTTTTTGGGAGTGGGATTATTTTTTTTTTCCCCCACTTAGGGAAACCGGCTGATTTGGGTTCCAGTCCTGCTGCCGCAGTCTCCCTACTTAGGCCTGACCTGCTTTAACATGATGGCCGAGGAAAACCACCGCGGTGCTGCAGCTGTGACTTAAATCACAGCCTGCGCAGGGGAGACTGGGCACCTTTCCTTGCCTCACAACACAGCCCAGCCACCAGTTTCCCCAGTCACTCCACTTGCTGATCTCCAGCAGCATCTCCTCCCGTGCTTTAATGCAGATTATAGGGCAGGTATTTGCCAAGAAATGTCACATTTTAAGTGTTTTCCTCCCACTCAAAAACTTTCAGAGAGATTCATCAGAGAACAGAGAGGGAGAGAAGCCTTAGGGAACGTTACACTGGGCAGGAGCTAACTTTTGTCCAGTTCCCTGAAGCTGTTTTATAAATTACCTATTCTTGAGCTTCATCTGCCCTCGGAGGCCTGCTTCTCCTGCCAGCGGAGGTAGGTGCACTTTTGGACCCCTCTGAATTTGCATCTGTAAAGGATGGAGAAACCTGAAGTTTATCCTCTCCCGACTTCACAGTACCACAGCCTTGCAGAGCGCATCTCCTACTGCGCTGGGAGAGCTGACATTTCACAACTACATTAGTTCTTTTTGTGCAATTTTCTGTAACTCGCTGCTACAAACAGTGTAAGGTCCAGGCAACCACACCTTGTGTTGCCGGTCTGTACGCAGGATGACTTGGCAGCGCTCTTATTCATTCCAAATATATTTTGCACGTTAGAGGCTGATGGATTGGCTTTACCCCAACAGAGTCTCCTCGGTTTGTTTTTTTTCCCTTACGGGCGGATCACAACAGCAAAAGCTGTTTATTTGAACAAACAGTTTGTTTAACTGCACAAAGGGAAATGGTACACAAAGAAGTTTCATCCAAAGTGCCCTGGAGATTGTGGGCATGAACATGGGGAATATATGAAGGCTGCATTGATGTGAACAGATTCAAAGCTCACTATGAACGCTCAGTGAAGGATCAGTATAATATGTTCTGCTATCTCTGCTTGAAATCGATGACCTGGGAATATTTTCTCTGCAACGAGCTTGCTAAAAGAAACCTGGATGCTACTTTGCATTGGATCCATCAAAACCTTCTCCTGCCTTCTTTCCGTCCTGGATGGACTCGCATCTCTCAACCCCCGCAGCCAAAGCTGAGCTGCTCAAAACCAGCCCATGAACTGGGACATCTTACCACAGACGGAAGCAGAGAAGGCACATGGATATGCATCACTCCCTGGGCAGGAGCAGGGCCAGTCAGCCCATCATTTGCTTTTGCTCACACTGCACGTCTGTGTTCTCTCCCTGGGCAGACACCCCACTTCTGTAACAGCCCTTCTACCAGGGCAAGTTGCTCTTTCTTTAAAAAAATTATATGGGGTCAAAAATGCTCTACTGTGGCCGACATGGCTCTAATGGGAGTAAAATCATATTGGTCAGTCTGATAGACAGTTCTTGGGAGACAAACTGGATTCAAATACCTCATCAGCGCTGCTCTCCTCTCTCCTATTATCTTAGAGGGTAATGGGATAAGCAGGTTTTGACACCCTTAAAATATTGCTCTCATACCACTGTCCTATACTGCTTGCCCCAGTCTGCTTCAAACTCAGCAGAGAAGAGAAGCCTGAGGCGAATGGGATGAGAGTTGGGAGACAACCCCAGTCAGCAGCAGCTCTCTCGAAAGCTGATCCCACCACAGATCTAGCAGGAAGGAGAGTCCTGGTGCCTGATTTGCACAACTGAGCCAAATGCACCCAGTCCTGCCCGTGTCTCTGGCTGTTGGCCATTGGTGCTTTATGCCAGACTCTGTTTCTAGTCTAGATAGTTGTTGCGCAACTGTCCTGGTTGGCACGTGGATAAAGAGGTAAATCCCCGTGGTTAACCTGCTAATCCAGCCTGAGCCTTGCTGGTGCGCAGGCTGTGCTGCAGCCATAGTCCTCTGGAGATATTCCGACTTATTCAGGAAATCAGGCACAAGTTGTTTGTGGGTTTATACACCTGCTTATTTGGTAACATCAGTGGTACTATAGTATTGTGCAGCCTTTTCTGGGCCAAGATCATCAGGGCCTTTGATTCCCAAAACTGAAAAATCCAATGTGCTTCTCCTTCTGGAGCCTGAAAGCCCTGACTTGCCTCTTGGTTGCTCTCTGGCCTAACAAACCAGTCTTGATTCCACACACAGGTGACCTTAGGCTGGTGAAAATACGTTGCAGTCCAGAGACCAAGACTCCTGACAGCCCAGAGCCTGCCCAACCTCCACAGAAACCTGGTTCCCACTACGCTGTTTTCAAAAGCTCCATGTACTTCAGAGTACTGAAGCCTTTAAAAAAGCAAGCCTGGAAGCAAACTGTACAGCTTAACATCATGTCCTGCGTTTCTGTAGTGGGTCTCTTCCCACACAGTTGTCTTGCTTTCAGTGGAAATGTCTTCTTTGCTTCCATTTTATGTTTTACAAGCTTTTATTTTTAGATCTGGAATGGTTAATGGCCCTGTTCTTTCCCCTTTATATTCATTTGGTGCGATCCTCCTAGATACAGCAGAACAATATTTGTGTCTTTTTTAACCTTTTATTTATGTGGCAATATTTTAAGCCATCATGATGTTGGAAAAGCTGTGTAATTTTTCCTGAGCTGACCAATTCTGAAATGTCAAACGACTTGGAGAAAATAAAAAAATAAATAATAAAATGGAAAGAAATGCTGCGCTCCGGCACACACTTCTCTGCATCCCACTAGTATCAATAAGATAAACTGGAATCCAAAATGCTGAAGGCTCACAGGCTTCCCATGTCAAAACCAAAATGGAAGAAGGCATTATTTTGCATAACATTGTAGTTTTGGATTTAAACCTGCCTTATGTTGCCTAAAAACGATACAGGCAGAGGTTTACCTGCAGCTCTAACAGGCTTTACTTGCACTGAAGGATTTTACAGGCAGCTGCACACCAGCTACTGAGTAGAAATTTTGATTTGACAGGCACAGCAAACCCAGCTCTGACCATCAGACACTGCTCCTTCCCTCCCTTTAAGGGCACAATATGTGGGCAGAACCTGTTATTACTTTGCAAGGAGAGGAGATGGCTTTTTTCACAGAGAGAGTGACTTCACCAAAGAGCCTTTCTCACCTGGCCACAGCCTAAGTCCTCAGTCCTCACCCAGAACAACCTCAGCATGGGGCTGCACTAATAACCACGGATCCAAGAGAGGACTCTCGCCCATTCCTGACGTTCTCACCTATTGGAGCCTGCAAAATCCCAGCCAGCCTCTGTTGGCAGTGAGAACCCCGGGCAAGTGTCACTTGGTTAATGAAAACTGATGGGGGAAAGGAAGTGCTTGGTCCTCTACCTTTCTGATGGTGAAGAAGGTGGTGTGAGGCTTCCTCTTCCACTTCATCTGCTGTTTGCACAGTCCCTGGATTCTCTTCGGTGACATCCTCCGGGGTTGTGGCTCTGGAGTGAAGCACTCTTGTTTCCAGCTTCCAGTCCTGGGTCCTTTCACCTTTCTGACACGATTTACTGGCTAATGAAAGTATAAAGTCTTCATCCAGGTAATTTATACCACATTCACCTGGCGGGAAGAGAATCCAGCTCTCACTGCTTGTTGCTCAACTACGAGGTGTCTAGCAATGTCAGCCACCACCAAGGTCGCCTGGAAAATAGAGGGACTGATGACCACAGCGCAAGGCTAATCTGAGTTTTCTAGTCAGGGATCACCAAACATTGCTGCTTTGTGCATCGGAGGCTTGTCAGGCAAACAACACGCAGGGCACCCGAGACCACACTTCTCCGACGTAGGTCCTGGGCACCTCCATTCACTGGAAAGGTCTATCATGTCTAGTGGGGCAGAGAAGAGAGGACCTAACGCCATCTGAGCGGAAGGGGCAAACAGGGAACTTCAGGAGAGGCCACAGAGATGATGGGGCTCAAGTAATCCTGGCAACACCAGGGATGCAGGGACCTCTCTGCCCTGGTCACTCGAGGTGCACTGGCAGCATCTCTTACCTGCTGTCAGAAAACCAACACGGTAAAAGAAGCACCCAATCCACCTGCTCCTCACTCCCAGTCACTTACTCAGTCTCTTGATGAAGACAACTGTGTCCTCGTAGCCACTGATACGAAACTGCTCCAGAACCTGCAGGGGGAAGGTAGCAGTCAGGGCAGATAGACCAGATACAGGGGTCTCACGGCTCTGGGTACCTGTACAAGCAGCTCACTTCACGTGCAGGAAGCTGGAAGATATAAAGCAAGCGGCAGATGTTTCTTTTTGATAACTGTAAAATACTATCAGAGAGTTGGAAAGTGAGAAAGGCAGCTGAGGTGTCTTTGGGACAGATGTCGTATTCGCCGGCGAAAGCAGACACGGTGATGGTGCTCCGGGACACGAAGTTGGCCCGCCACATGCCGAGTTCCCCATCAACGTAACGCTAGGAGAGAAAACAAAGAGCTTTGAGCCTTCCTCTTCTCAGGGAGAGGAGCGCTGCAGCACATGTGCATGCATGTGGGGGTTCTTCCCCATCCAGTCCCAAACTAGACTGAGATACTGAGGCTACAGAGATCCCCTTCTAGGGAACAGACCCAGCACCTCCTCCATTGCAACTGAAAACTCAGTCTTTAATGAAATTGAGGGAAAGTGCAGCAAAAAGGAGTTGGGCTAACCGCATGGGCAGGGAGAGGATGGACACTTTTGTAAGAAGGTCAGCTCTGTGTGCAGTGAGGCCAGATTGTGGGGCACCTCGGTTCAGTTTTTCCCTTTGCAGACACCATGCAGACACAGGACCAAGCAACTTTGGTGGCAAATACGGGTATAAACATGCCTAATGCCACCACTGGGGAAAGGACTAGATGGGCCCTTGGCCTGTCCTGAAATAAGGTCTCAAGACCAAAAGGCTACTCACCACGCCACGGTACTTAAGAGGCAGAAGTCCAAAATACAGCGGGATGTAGCAGCTGCAGAGTATGGCCTGTGGGTGAGATGGAAAGCAGGGAGGTGAGCAAAGAACACTGAAAACCTGTTGCCTTTGGGAACGGTGACCTATCCGTGAAGGCCAAAATGAAGATCCATGGCTGGGTTATTGGGCACGACTGATTACTGTGGACCAGATCGTGTCTGATTATCCACAGCCAGCACTAAAGAAGCAGGAAGGTAACCTGAAAAACGCCTCGTTTTGCTCTTTGCATACTTGAGCCCTGCAGGTATGTGAGCCAGCAAACGAAAGGGCTGGTTTAGTTTATTATTTTCAGCTTGTGACCCTGTCTGGCTTCAGAGGGTGGCAAGGACAGAAATCATGGCCTGGGGTCCTGAGAGGGGCCAGGCTTCCCCCACGGCCGCTGTGGGGCACGGAGGGGCAGGACACCGCAGGCAGCTCCTCCTGGTACAAGGTGGCTGCGGCTGCTCTTACCTGAATGAGGTCCTCCCTCGAGGCAAACTCTGAAACCGTCACACTTCTCCAGTCATGCACTCGGGTGAGGATAATGTGCAGTTTTCCAGACACCAGCTGGTGGGCGTTTGTAGGCAGATATTGGTTTAGTATGGTCTTTAACAATCTAGGGATTCTTCCTCCAGGAAAAAAACCGAAGAAAGAGTTTTGCAGAGCATTGAGGAAAATCGGCTTCAACTCATCTAAAGCAAAAAAAAAAAAAAAAAGCAAAGCAATCATTCCACGTCCTTTATATTATTATTTATGTACCTTCTGAGCCGAACTCCTGCCTGGTAAAGGGACATTTTGCCATGCAGGTAAATGCTCATGAAGAGCCACTATTTTGATTAGGGCTGAAGCTCTCAAGAGCAGACACAAACTTTCCAAGGACCTTCAGTACTGCAGGAAGCAGAAGTACTGTGTTTTCTTTTCTGTATTTCCTCCTCTTGGCTCTGCATCTGTTATCCCTAATGCATTTCTCAGGTCTGTGACTATAATGCAGCTGCGACATGGATTCTCTCATATTCAATATTTTCTTTCCCCTCTGTGTTTTGGGAATTTACCAACAACAGCAAATGTCTTATTAGGGAGGGCACTTCTGTTTCTTATATTAGACATGTTTACCATTTTCAAATTAATAAGATGCAACAGCTTATTTAACAACTATTTAACAAGTCTGTTTTCTCCATGCTGGTTAACTTACTCATGTTATCCACTCTTAATGGATTCAATGAAATAAAATTCTGAGGAACTAACCACTGATTGAGGATAATTAAAGAAAAATAAAAACCTTTTGCATTTCCACAATTTCCAGACATTTTCTTTAGACACAGAATAAATGGCAGTGCATAGTCCTTACCCACATCGATCCCACACAATCCAAGCGTAGCTATAACCGATCCTGAAGATGCCCCATAGACCTTGGATGCAGATTTCAGCAAGCCAGGCGACAATTCCTTCAAAGCAGTCAACACTCCAGCTTGATACACTATCAAGAAACTGCAGCCTCTAAACAGTATAGAGAAAGGTTCCCCCTCATTTCCATTTCTCTCCATCACCCCTGAGCACTCAAGCCACAAGAGAGCAGCTGCCCAGGACAGGTTCAGAGGTGTTTTTTTTTCCTGCAGTCAGCCAATATGTAGCTGTGGCTGTTCCCAATCTGCTTTCTTTTCTGTCCACGCTCTTGCTGCCTTATATATCTCTGGCTGAAAGAGATCTTAAAACCAAACATACAGTGAAACAATAGCATTGGGCAGAAGTGGACGACATGATGTCTTAATACCCAAGGCCATTTATTAAAATAAAATTACTCCATTGCAATAAGTTCCTCAGGTGCACACTTAGCCGCTGGGTAAAAGCCCCAGGTGACACAGAGGACCACACGTCACCCTGATGTGTCAGGGAAGCGCCGCAGGGGAGGTCAGCAGGGCCTCAGCAGTGAGTCCTCCAGAGAGAAAAGCCGCTTCCCCAAGCTGATCAGCTATTTTACTGGTACCCTGGTGTCCCAGAATAAGATTCCAACCCCACTGGGAGGTTGGAATCAGCAAATATTCCCTGGTATACAAGCGTCTTGCAAGATGCTGCTCAGAACTGCCTTGCCTCACTTGTAACAGGTTACCAAACCCCATCCCAGGGAGTGGAGAAGTTGGCGAAGGTGGTTGGATTATTAAAGAATAATCTGGAGGAAAACATTATTAAAGAATCGTGTTCTAGTTTCACAACTTCAGGGTTTGAGTTTGCTTGCAAAAGGGTAAAAATACAGAGTCGAGGTAACAACTCGTGGCTTAATCTGCCTCCCAAATGGCTGAGGTTTCAGTAGAGCAACAGGTCAATAAAGAAGTAAAGAGAGGGGAAAAAAGCCTGTCAGACACAGTGACCTATTGATTCTCCGTTCAGAAATGCAAAGCTTTTCTAGGCGAGACACTGGGAAACTGCTACAGGGAAAAGCAGCACTGAAAGCCGGGCAAGAGCAGAAGCAGCTGTCCAGCACAAACAATAACAAGAACTTGGACATATTTCTCCGAGACCCGTGGAAATCTACCTAATGTCTTCAGGTGAAAAAGCTCCACCTAGAAGATGCTTCTCTACCCCGTGCTGTGTGTTGAGGTAGTGCTGGGTGAGTCTTATAGAAGAGTTTGGCTGGAAAATAGAACCACAGAATACTTTTGGTTGGAAAATAGAATCGTAGAATGGTTTCGGTCGGAAAACTTGGTGGCTGGAAGCAGCCCTGACCTACGCGAGGGGACTGCAAAGCAACCCTGGTGATCACGTAGCAGATGCGCTGGACATGCTGGTGCTCCCAGGGCTGTGGTGTCCACAAAATCCCAACCTCTTGCTGTCTGAGCACCCTCAGCACAGTGCTCATCCAGCCCTAATTCCCTGTGGGAGCAGCGTATGTCACCAACCAGCTCCACCCAGGCACCAAGCCACTAAGCTCCTCGCACAGACCTTGCAC